ATTCTCCAAACATTACAACCCTTGTAAAACACAAAGAGAAATGGTCGCAAGAAGATGAACCCTGCCTGACAAGGTTATAATCTTGCCCAAGTCTCTTTTGTTTGTGCTTACATAGAGTAGATATGTTGTTTAATGCGTCTTCCATTGTGTTTTTAATTCATTTTCAACTGCTTTTCGTTCAAAGTTTCATCTATGATTAATCTAGCTAAACTAATTAACCTTGCTTCTTTAGTATTAATTGTAATCAAAGAAATGGTTGGAAGGGTCCTAAACTCGCTTTATCTAGACATACAATATTATGAGTAAAAGTCCTTGTTTACAAGACAAGAAAAAGAACCTTATACGGACTTAACCCATCTGTAATAATCCAATAAGATCAAAAAGTCTAAGTAACTTGTGGCTTAAGTAATCAACCCAGATAATAACAAAAAAAAAAAAACAATTTGTTATACAAAGATAACATTAGTACGCTCAAATCTATAATAGTTTTGATTGTGAGCCTCAAGGACTAACAAAGACCCCACAAAGGCACCATTCAAACTAATAGCAAACTCATATTGCAGCACACCAAGCAGCAACCCTTGCTCGACAAGCAAGACCCCGGGAAGCTGTGCGAAGGACAGATCCAACCCGAACAAAAGTCATTATAAGAGCCATGCTATGTGATGGAATGGAGTGAGTTTGGTTGGCTGAGTCACTGAGACATAAACGAGGTCAGGAGACGGTTGGTCAATTTGTGGAACTTGGCTTTGGCTTTGCCTTGTGGGTTAGGTCATCCTATTTTAGTTTTTGGTACACCTATTTGGTCTTATTCATTTCTTAACTATTGAAGAGACTAAGGGGTTGTAGTCAAACTCAGATTTGAGAGGATTTTAAAAGACTTTAAAATCCTAGTGTAGTCAATTAAAAGATTTTAAAGGATTTTAGAATCTATTCAAATCTAGGTGTAGTCAATTAAAAGATTTTAAAGGATTTTAAAATCTATTCAAATATAAGTGTATTAAAAAAAATTAAGATTTTTAAGGATTTCAATAAGTTGTGGATTTTGTGGGATTTGAGAACTATAACCAAGACTAAAAAGAATCCAACCTCACCCCCTAGGATTTCAAATCCTTCCACCACAATTCACACAATCCATTCAAATTCTTTAAAATTCAAATGAATTTTGTACGAGTCTTTAATCCTCTTAAATCCTATAAAATCTATCATTTTTAAAATCTTTTAAAATCTTAATTTGACTACACCCCTCTAAATTTGTAAACAAAATCGTGTAACTAGATAACTTGTAATTTGATGATTCGATTAATACTTACATATTGATAAACGTTCTAATTGCTATTAACATTTAATCTACATCACCCTTTTTCATCAGTGTCAAAGTTTCTACGCTAAGTTTTTCTTTTGTTTTGGCCCTCTCTCTCTCTCCCTATCTTTACGCAATAATGATTAATGATGAAGAAGACTAGGCTCAAATATAAAGCAAACCTACTCTCCTAAAGCAGTGAACAGCAATTCTTATCTCATTTTTATAAGGGGTTTTTTGAAATTGGTCAAAGAAACTAAAAATTAGACCTATTTCAAAAGTCATAAATTATTAAAAATTTGACATATTTCAAAAGGTAGTCTATAAAATTTGACCTATTTCAAATTTTTCCTTTTTATTTATAATAACAATAATAATGGGTATAATAATTTTTTTTTTACTTCTTAATTTGATTATCATTATAAATGAATTTAAATTACATTATTATTAGTTTATTGTAATATTTAACCCACTACTCTATTTTTTAATTTAGATAATAACGCTGGTTAAAGAAAAAAATAGACTTTTGCTTGAATTACAAAAGTAAAGTAACCTAGAAAATTGATAGGGACGACAGTCCAAACTGACGTGGCTTGATAAGTAATATTAAAAAAACTTAACGCCATATAAACAACGACACGTGGATTCTGTTTGGTCAGAGGACAAACAAGAAGATTTTCTTTTGTAATTTTGCTCAAGACCCAATCGAAGGGAAGATCGTTGTGAATACTATTATTGTTTTTTTTTTTTTTTTTTTTTCAAAACAACGATATTATCTAGATTAAAGATATGAGAAAACTAAATAAATTTCACAATTAATTAGTAATAATGTTGTTCAAATTCGTTTTTTAGTAAGAATCGAAAACCTCTCACTTACAATAAAGACGAAACTCTTAGTACTATTATACGGAAGTACTAAATGGCAGCAAAACTCTAATTATAAAATGTATTACAGTAGGATTCTCTCTTCTCATATTCTCATCTCCTTCCCTCCCCTCCTCTCACACATTATTTTTTGTCTTATTATCTCTATAAAAAAAATTAATATAAAATGTTAATGTAGTTTAACTGTGACCGTTCAAATAAGAAAGAATAGAACTCTCCTCTATATTGCACACATGGATGCAAATAACTTGTTTAAAATAATGTGCTTTTCTAGTACACTTAAAATCGCTTAAAATCGAAACGATTAGATTGGGTAGAATCTCACTCAATTCAAAAAACAATTATAAAACATAAAGTTAGACATGCTGCTAATATAGACAGCTAATTCGTGTCAAATGGTGTACCCATTAGCTACTCATTCCCAATTTTGGTTTTTCATTTTTTGTTTTTTTTTTTTTTGGTGGAATTCCTGATTTTGGTTAATGTCAATCTTTTTTATTAGCATTGCCCGTGTTCCGAGACTTATCAAATTTAGAAAGGCTAATGCTAATTTGAACTTAATATTATTAGACTATTAATTACTACGTTATGACTCAGTGGTTGGGGACGATTTTTAGGTTCGTATTTCACACGACACATCTTGACTTCAATTCCTGACATTAGTGGATAGAAGAATGGGAAATCCTTTTGAACAACCTGTTATAATAGGAAAGCCTTATATCTTGAAATTAATTCATCAAGTTGATAAATACATGGACGTTCCAATGGACATTATGCACTTGTTACGTAGCAACCCCTTAGAGGAAGGGCCAATCAATCGGCACAACGGCTAGGAGAATGGAAGTTTGGGTTCTAGAGGGATTTGGTGTTGCTCATATTTTACAAAGATGCTTACTTATAAATCTGATCATATTAGAGCTCGCCAAGAAGTAATTGGTACTACAATTATCGGAGGAACAATACCTAAACCCGATAATGCTCCAGAATCTTTTCAATTGCTCGTTCGAGAACTACAAATCTTGGTTCTGGAATTGAACCATTTCCTTGTTTCTAAAAACAACTTCTAGATTAATAGGAAGGAAGCTTGATCAAAATGAAATGAATCAAAAAATTTCTTCTATGATTGACCGATATAAACATCAACAACTTCAAATTGGATTAGTTTCTCCCCACCAAATAAGTGATTGGGCCAAAATAGCCCTAACTATTGGAGTAATAGCTAGAGAGGTGCCAAAACCCTACACGATGATGGCAGAAGAGGCTAAAATGCCTCTATGAGTCTTCTTGGCCCTTAAAAGGGTGGACTGCTGCGGCGACTCTTTTTAAAGGAAAGAAAAATATTATTAGACTATTTAAGACCTCAGTAACTAAGGGCCGGTTAAAGACTTTCAATGTGACTGAAATACAGGATGGTACTTCACATATTACTATACAAGTAGAGGCAAGTTTTTTTTTTTTTTCTCTTTTCAAGTATCACCCCACTTGTATAATGCATATAACATATGTGCCTGTATTCCGGCACGTTGAGAAATCTCTCCTTAAAATGAGTGTTTCCAAAAATAAAAAACAAAGGTGATAGTGATGTGATACACTTAACACTCAATTATGTTTATAAGCTTTCTTTGGTATAGGGTTTATTTATGTTAACTAGTAGTGGGATTAGATGACTTGAACCTAACCACTCTCACCCATTCTTGGTAATGACCTGTGTTTGGTATATGTTTTATGTTAACTAAATAATGACATCTCAACCAAAACAAGCAAGCATTGTCCTTTATTTTCATTAATATCAATTATTTAGTGTAGTAGGTGATCCATATATGATTGTGGTCAAGAAAGTTATGAAATGTTCCAAAAACAAGTTTTAAAAACCATATGATTTTCAAGAATGAATTATGGCAAACTTTTCATTCATCAACAACTCCCTTCAAACAGAGAAATATTTTTGGGTAGGTCAAAACACACCCATCATATGGAGAAATTCTTGGATTAAATTCAGGGGCAGAGCTATGATTTGAAGCTTTTGAAGTTTTCCTATGAGTCGGACGATACCACATTATTTTCAATGTTAAAGAGTCTATGATATATAGACCTAATGATTTTTTTATATATACAAGCGATATGGAGGGAGATGAGGTTTCGAACTTTGAATCTTGAGGGCAAAAGAGAATGTTCTTAACCAATTGGACTACAACACCATTGCATGAAGAGATAATTGGAGGATGGTTCTTGAACTTTAGTCCTATTGGAGCTTTGGTCCTGAACTAAAAATTCGTGAGTTTTAGTCCCTGAACGTGTTATAATGTAGAGCAATAGTCATTTTGACTAACTCCGTTTAAACTTCCATCTATTTTTGTCCCTTCTAAACGCTTTATTTTGGATGAAACTTTTTACAAAGTTAGCCAAAAAGATTATTACTTCACATTAAAACAGGGACCAACAGTCACTGATTTTTAGGTTTGGAACCAATGTTTTAATTGGACCAAAGTTCAGGGATCATTGCTCCAATTTTCTTTTGCAGCTATTGAATCGTCTATTTCCTAGTCTAGCAACACCAATAAAATGCCAGTTTTTATTAGGTTTTGTAAAAATCAGATATGATAATGGTGGAAATACTTCACCCCAGAATCCAGGAACAGTAAGACCAAGTAAAAGCAACCAAATCGACCTGGATATCCAGACGCAAAAAAAAAGACAGCAGCCAACATAAAAAATGCCACTTTTGAGGGGACTAGAAATCAAGACATCATGGCATGCAGCCTCAAAAAGAATAAAAAAAACATTAAAAATACACAAATGTATGCAACCTTGATGCGAAAATGGGTGTATGATGTATTAGGAATAATGACTATAAAATGAATTACAAGGAAGTTGTTGAACTAGATGCTAACTGAATTTTAAGGAGATAAGCTTTTCTTTCGCGCATTTGTAAGCATGCACCATGTTTTGATTTGTGTCCTCGGTATGAAGTATGAAAACGTGACGCGAAACAAGTCACGAAGAAGAGACGGATGCAGTTGTAAGTGCAGGTGGTGACAGAGTAGCAGTAGCATTATCCGTCCAATTCTTTTCACCCCAGTGCCATAACATGCTCTCCCAGAAGCAGAAATCCTCGAAGCATGTTTTTAAACGCTTGTCTTTTATCTTAATTTTCCAGTGACCATCACTGTAATTTGCTTTTTCAGCTTGTCTCCGATCCCACTCAAGTGCTGCCTTCTGCTTGGACCGAAGCAAACAGAACTTTTGCAAGTTTTGCGGCATAGCATCATGCACTTTCCACCACCTTCTATGTGCGACATTACTGGCAAACTCCTGCAGAAAGTCCACATTCCAATTGCAGTCATAGTCACGGAAGCAAAGCCATGGTTTATTGCCCAGGTAATGGAGGACGTAGAGGATTGGAGGTTCAGCTGCAAAGAGGTGAGTTTTCCTCTCCTTTTTCTCTGGCTCATCACCTTCCCAGAAATGTTTCAAGAAGTTCATATGTTTTGGAATCCTGTGCCACCATGTAAATACCTCATTCAAATAACCCTGGTCTCCACCATTGTAGGAGACGATTTCATCTATATGATCCATGAGCAGCTGGAATGTACAATTTGATGGTTCGATAACCATCACACCGGAGTTGAACAGAGTAGCATTATTTCCTGTCGCTGATATTTCTGGCATCTCAAACAGGAAGTCAATGTTCCTGAGTATAAGCATGTCAGCATCAATGAAAATGATCTTGTCATAATCAGTTAACTGCCAAAGACGGAATTTGCTGTAGTTCCATTCATTGTATGCTTCTGGTTCAGCTTTAGGGTTCCTGATTCTTTGGATCGTGTGAACCTTCCACCCAGCAGCTGCCAATCCTCCACGATGATACTCACTGATTGTTTCATCAACAAGTATTACAAGATCTCGCGTTGAACCAGACATACGGATGCTCTGAGCTGCAGCAATGGCTCCACAAACATATACATGGGCAGAATGTATGATTGTTGCATATGCTTCTCGGTGGGCTCTTTCCGAGTAAAAGCTTTCTGCATGCAATTATTTAGTTCATCAGTTAAATATCAAAAGTATCCATGACTTATGGTAACCTACCACATGGGTTACAAGATGGAGTTTAGATTTAACAATTAAGAGTAAAAATATAAAAAGATCTTCACAAAAAAATTTCAACAACTAACATTAAGGCTAGCAGGTGGTCAGCACTAACATCAATCACTGATGTAGCAGATCGCCTGAGTACATGATACACATGGTGGTTTACACAGTCATACATATATAAAGGGTTTTCAGTTGCATGACAATTTTGAGCATCATAAATCATGAGTAATTTGATCACTTCGACCAAATGGTGAGCCTGACACTACAATCAGTGACACTGAAGGATGTCATGCATTTGCATCATGCATGTACATCTGGATGGACCGGCTATACTTGACCCAAAAAAAAGTTTGACTAAAACTCAAAAACACCTAAACCATTGTCATCGTGATATCTGCCTTGGTCTGGAACCATATGAATACACTACTTGTTTCAATATTGTAAGTTCATTTGATGCGGTGGATGACCACTACCTATCTAATTCATAATTTACATAAGTGATGTTGTCTCCTTGGTGTGGATCACTACCTACACCTCAAATTAAGCTCCAGAGAAACAACTCAAGTTTTTTTAGAACAACTACCGATTGTATTGTACAATGCCCAGCTATAACATACAAAATGTGAAAATAATTTATTGAGTGAACTGAACTCTATATTATAAAGGATTCCAAGACAGTGAAATTTGAACAATAAAAGGAAAACAGAAGGAAGACTAGCAGCTTTCAGTGCACAAAAACAAATTTTGATGAAAAAAGAGAGACACTAGTTTAAATCTGACCTTTAGCCGTGAGAGGAACTGACAGCTCACATGACCCTACAGGGAGCTGCAGCTTATCTCTCAACGTATTCAGTTTTGGTTCATAAAGCCAAACATTCCCTTCCCGTCTGACAAGCTCTTTGCAAGTAAACAAATTTGGGATTGGAAAGCAGTCTGTCACCAAAAGCACATGCACTGGGTGATACCCTTTGGAAGCTGCAGCCAGCCTTGCTGCTTCAAGCTGCAAGTGCAACCGAGCCACATCTCTTGACCAGCTGCCTGACTTGTTGCAGGGAAGCTTAACAGCAACCAGATCAAGCCGAGGTTTGCCAGGAATTTGAAGCTTTGGTAGAGAGGGACAAGTAGGAACTTCAAATTCTTCCTCTTCATCTATCCATTCAGGGTACAGGGTTTCCCATGTTATGTTTTTTGACGCATGGTTGAGGCGTAGGACAACATGCTCACAATCTGGCAACAGCTCCTTCCAATGGTCAATCTCATTGTCATTAAAGTTTAACAGGCCAATTCCCTGATAATCCTTTTTGTCCGTCAGATTTTCAATAGCATCAGAAATTTCATCCCAGTTAGTTTCTACAGATGATACATAACGTAAATCTTGAGCAACACTCTTTTTTGTCAACCTTCATCAGAATTTGGGCTGCAGGCAATAAACTTTTGTTACAAAAAATCTCCACGGCAGAGAGAGCAAAGCGATAAAAAAAAAAAAAAAAAGACCAATTCCCATTTGCCTGAAAACTGAAAATACGACTTTTCCAATTCCAAACAAAGAGGGATGCGCTGACAACATATTTTCCCAGGTGGGGAAAATTATTCGAAAACCTAACGCCAAAGAACTTTCCATTTGAGCAAGAAAGTAACAAAGAGTAAACTAATAACATAACTAATAAGTAAAAGCAAGGTAATCAGCCAATAGGGACTTACTTAGATACGGAACGGGATTGATGATCTGAATGATGAACACCAGGAGAGAAGAAGAGTGTGAGAAAAGTCCCCAGTATGATAACAGCCAACACAAGCTTCAAGGTGGGCTTCAAGTTCCTATCTTTAAAATCCTTGTTCCTCTGGGGCCTTCTTCTGTTACAGTCTTCACTGAAAAAAAAAAAAAAAAAAGGGATTGGCAACTGCATACATGAGCACATGTGTGAATGGCAAGTTAAAAAAAGTGCAAAGGGCAATAAACGGAATGCATAACAACTAGATCGAGCAGTAAATAAGCGAACGCCATTGGAAACAAGTTCCACCCAGCAATACAATCGATTGTTAGGCAATCAAATCGATCGTTGAGAATGCACTGCTCACTGATATGTGAAAACAGCACATGTATAAATAATGAATGTTCTACATCCCCATTAAAATCCGATAGCGAAACCGCTTGCACGATGCCCATTGACCAAGAATACGCCGTACAATTCAGAAATGTTGCTAATGATATTGCCAAACCCTTTTCAAACAGTTGAGTAAAGTGTAGCCTAATCATTACCATAACTCGTCAATTAATCAAGACACGTTCAAATTCTCACCAGAATAATAATTGGTTCGGGACCCGCTGTTCATCAAAATAAACGAATCATGACCCAAAATTTGAGAAATTCAAGTGAGGGCTTTCTTACATGCTTATTTTTCCGAGTGTGAAAACCAAGAATCAAACACCGTCGGCAAAACGAATGCAAATCACAGTAAAGAGAAAGAGAGAGACCTGGCAGAAGCAGAAAGGCGGTGTCGGTGCTCAATGGGAGCTGGGGAGGAAGCTCTCATGGTTGCTGATTCAGTAGAACAAACATGGATGGGAGTCTCTCTATGCTGTTGCTCAAAAGGATCAACACACCAAACAATGGGGACTATTCTCCTACAAAAATTTAAAAACTGGAAAGACACAAATTCCAGGAAAATGATTCCAATTTGTTCTGAAGAAAAAGTCGTTGGGAATCTATGATCCGTGAGTGAACAAGGAAGGAAGGTAAAGAAGAAGACAGGTGAAAGCAGTTGCAGTGTAATTAAACGGGGGTCAGAAAACAAGTTAATAGAATCTGAATTTTCTTGTTTTTTATTTTGGGTCAAATATCATATACACAATACATGTCAGTCATGCCATAACCATTCGTTGAAAGTCTTCCATTCATCCTTTGACTATTTCTCAACTGCTTCACCCATTTTTGTTAATAATTAACACAAAAGCAACTTCTCACTTACTCTTAAAAGTTGCTTCTACAGAAAGCCGAATGGAGGATTTTTTTTAATGCAGTAAGATTCTGTTCTTTCTTTTTCTATTTGAGTCATCATAATTAAGTTACGTTAAACATGTCATATTAATGTTTTTATAAAAAGAGAAAGTCAAAGTAAAAAGTGTAAGAGGTGATGAGAGAAAGGGAGGAGACTAGAATAGGAAAGAATCTACCCCTTTATTAATTCCTTCAATATCATCATTAATGTTCAAAAATGAAATTATCCTTCTTTTCCTGTGTAACTGTATTTTGCACACCTAAGTTATATTCATGTATCTCTAACTTATAAAAATGAGATGATAAAATATGGCAAAATCTATATCAAAAATTGATTCAGTGTAGAAATAAACATATTGGTTCACAAAGCAAAAACCACCACCTATACCACCATTACTATCGGCCGCACACCACCATCGCCAGCAACATCCCTACCACCATCGATAATAATAGGTAGCTTGCAACTATAAAGTAAAGTAGATGTGCTTACTCAATGGAGCCTAATCATTATTTATGAGAGTCGAACTTTGGACTTTTTACTAACAAAACGAGAAATAACCCTAGATCGTAGATTAAGTAGCTTAGTTAAAGTTGAAAAAGAAAGTAAATGAAGATCAAAACGGCGCGTTTTAGAGACCATTTCTTCACTTGTTCTTCCTTCCCCCTCGGGTCTATGTAGATCTGCAAATTTCTCTTTTCTTATACACAATTGAACATATCATCATCACAATCATCCGCATCAGATCGTAGCTTGAAAATGGTGCTGGTCACGGCCGTACGGGATTACTTAAACCGGATGTTGCAGGACATCTCCGGCATGAAGGTTCTCATCCTCGATTCCCACACGGTAACAACCCTTTCAACTCTGGAAAACTTTCAAAATTTCACGAATTTCTGGAGCAATTTTGATCGAGTAAATAATGGGTTGTTGTTGTTTTGGGTAATTGAATGTGGCGCAGGTTAGTATAGTGAGCGTGGCGTATTCGCAATCCGAGCTTCTGCAGAAAGAAGTGTTTTTGGTGGAATTGGTTGATTCCATTTCCAAGTCCAGAGAATCCATGTCGCATCTCAAAGCTGTTTACTTTCTTGCACCCACTTCAGAGAACATACAGTTTTTGCGCCGGCACTTGGTTTCTCCTCGATTTGGGGAGTATCACCTCTGTAAGTTTTGATGTTTCTTCATGTTAATTTGGTTGTGGAGTGTGTTTGGAGGATACCCAGATGATATTTGGAGCTCATTTCTCATGCAATACTGGAATTTGCAGTTTTCTCCAACATATTGAAGGATACCCAGATTCATATTTTAGCTGATTCAGATGAGCATGAAGTTGTGCAGCAGCTTCAGGTAATTCATCATTCACTCAAATGCTTTCTTGATCATTTGTTCGGTTTATCTGAAAATTTATCTATGTAGTAATGTAAATTGCTAACTAAATTTGGACTCCAGTTTTATTTGGGATGCCTGCAATTCGAGAAATACATCATAGATTCATAAGTAGTAAGTTTGTGACAGGCAAAAATGTTTGCTTGGTCACTAACGAAGAAATGTTCTCTTGGTCACTTAGTGACCAAGGAATGCATGTTCACTTACCCTTTGATTTGATATCAAGGGTGGAGAATTAATCAATTTGTTTTTTTATGCCTTAATCTCAACTTAAATGAATGTGATTTTAGTGTTTTAATCTCAACCTTTAATATCAAATCCAAGGTTGGTGACCATGAATCCTTGGTCACTAGGTCGCCAAGAGAATGGGACTCTTGGTCACTAAGTCTCCAAGAGAACGGGACCTTAATCCCAAGCAAGCTTATTATATATTATGAGGATGCATATTTTTTCTTTTACTCACTTTGTAAGGAAGTTAATGCGAAATATATTGTTTTTATTCAAGTTGGAATCGGTTTTACTTTTCTGTTAAATCCTTGTTTCTTTTGAAGAACTGATGAAATAGCTTAAGCCAAAAACTAATCATAATAAACCTTGCTCTAATGCACGACTAGACAGATCAAATTTGCATGTGAAGTTTTCATTTTAGAAAAAATATAAAATTGTGTAACATAGCCATTCTAATATTAAACTTAATAACAACAAATCCGTCATTATACTTCAAATATGGGTTTATTTTCTTACTCTTCATATGAGGTTTATCTTGGTCTTGCAGGAGTTCTATGCAGACTTTGTTGCAACTGATCCTTACCATTTCACTTTGAACATGCCATCAAATCACATGTATATGCTCCCAGCAGTTGTAGATCATTCAAATTTACAGCGCTTCTGTGATCGGGTAGTTGATGGAATTGCAGCTGTTTTTTTGGCATTAAAACGAAGACCAGTTATTCGTTATCAGAGAACATCTGATATTGCTAAAAGGATTGCGCAGGAAACAGCAGTAAGTATAATCATGTGTTCCAAATAGTTTTGTATGTGGGCTTGTATTGATACTATTTTGAATGTGAACTTTTTTAGGGTTTTGTATTCTCCCGTTTCTCGTTTTCTATAAGCTCAACTTTTTATGCATGTCACATGTCATATAAAGGGGATTTTACAGCTTGAAGACTCTCACCATGAAAGTTTGCACAGGGAAACTGATATTGTATTTTGGGCATGTAACAGAAGCTGATGTACCAGCAGGAAAGTGGACTTTTTGATTTCAGACGAACAGAAATTTCTCCGTTGTTGCTGGTAATTGATAGGAGGGATGATCCTGTGACCCCGTTGCTGAATCAATGGACCTATCAGGTAATTGTGTCGTTGTTAACTTTTACAACAAATGTGCAAATGGCTCATATATGCTTATCTTTTAAATTACATTGGGATAAAAAACACCTGAAATATAAATTGAGCTCATTGATTAAACTACTTACAGGCTATGGTTCACGAATTGATTGGTATTCAAGACAACAAAGTCGACTTAAGAAACATTGGAAAATTTCCGAAGGATCAAGAGGTTGAGTTGTAATTTCTCTCAGTACTGTACATATCTGTGTTTTGTAATTTTCTTGCTAAACAAATATATATCTGTATTGATGCTTATAGGAGGTTGTGCTGTCATCAGAGCAAGATGCTTTTTCAAAAAGAACATGTATGAGAACTTTGGTGATATTGGGATGAACATCAAGCAGTTGGTTGATGAATTTCAGCAAATTTCAAAAAGTAACCAGAACATTCAGACTATAGGTTCGTAGGATGCAAAACTGAAAATTTGAGATTCTTGACTTGTAGTTACTAACTGTTGCCGCTCAGGGATTACTCGTTGATAACCAAATGTGTATGTTCATTATTGCAGAGGACATGGCCAAGTTTGTTGACAATTACCCTGAGTACAGAAAGATGCATGGAAATGTTTCAAAGCATGTGGCACTGGTAACAGAAATGAGTAAGCTAGTTGAAGAGCGAAAACTTATGGTAGTGTCACAGACAGAACAGGAGTTGGCTTGCAACGGTGGGCAGGTGGCAGCTTTTGAGGTACTAACTAAAACAACATATTTCTCAAATAATTAAATGAAATTGAAACCACTTCGGCTACATTCTCTCTCCCCTTTTTATTCCTCTCTATTATCCCACTACAAGTCTACAATTACATTTTTGTCTCTTTTCTACATATCCTAACTACCTATAAGGGAGGAGTTATTATTTTATAATTTTGTTGTTTTAGTAGTATTTTCAAATGTGTTTGTCCCTTTTTTTTAACCAAGCTTGTACATGCAGGGTGTGTAGAGGGTCTAGTCATATGAGGAGCAATGAACATGTCTATACTTTTTTAAATAGTTGTGCCTGCTTATTGGTGATGGTCAAGAGTATTGAAATTAATGCAATTGAGAGAGAATTTATTATCATTTGCATTTCAGATAGATTTAAGGTTTTTCATAAGTACAAAAAAGAGAAGGCGCAGTAAGGGCTCAGGGTAAATGTTTTATCACAGGGTTGAAGTTATTTATTAACTTTGATTTCCCTCCACTGAGAGCATCTACCATGGAAAAATGACATGCATACTCCTTAACAACTTGTAAACCTTCTACTCATGATTGGATGACCACACACGTTATCTCTAAATGCAAAGGAACTTGTTCCATGTCTGAAAGGGTGGAGTTCCTTGAAATTAATATACAATTACTTTTTAGCCGACAAAATAATTAGTGCTATAAAGTTGACACAAGATCTACCACTCTTGTTTTTGTTTGCCTTACTATTCATGTGGCAAGTTATATGAGAATTTGATTTTTAGTTGCTTTGTACCATTACCATATACTTGTTCTGTTATTGACTTTGAGATAACAACTATTTAACAGTCATTGAAATTTGAATTCGAAGTCAGAAACAACAATCTCTTTTTCCTACGTATATTGCAGGCGGTGACAAATCTATTAAACAATGAAAGTGTATCTGACATTGACCGCTTACGTACTTGTCATGCTGTATGCTTTACGCTATGAGAAGGAGAGTCCTGTGCAACTAATGCAGTTATTTAACAAACTGTCATCCAAGTCTCCCAAGTACAAACCTGGGGTAATATAACCAATAGCATCCTGGTTTGGATTCTTTCACCCTCATGTACTTTTTTCCTTCATTTTTCTTTGGGAGGAAGGGGATCACAGATCTGTTTTTAAGTGGGAATTTTCCATTCCTAAAGCCTGACACTTTTGGTATTTCAAAAGATACTTTCATTTAGATAATCAATGGTGGTGATTTGTAATTTTAGTTATGCTTGTCCAGTGTTCTGGAGACTGACCATCTGAGCAGCAATTAGACCCTAAGCTTCTAATATACCTTTATTTTAGCTACTAGAGTAATTTCACAGTTTAATAACTTGTCTATTGTGGAATTACAGCTTGTCCAGTTTCTCTTGAAGCAAGCGGGTGTGGATAAACGAACTGGGGATCTTTATGGAAATCGAGATTTCTTAAACATCGCACGTAACATGGCTCGTGGGCTGAAGGTTTGTTTGGGAAAGTTTATACTCTGTGCATATTGTAGGGTGTGCTTTACAAGCTTATAGGTAATATATTATGTGCTTTAGGGGGTTGAGAATGTGTACACACAACACCAGCCTCTTCTCTTCCAAACTATGGAAAGCATTACCAAGGGACGGCTGAGAGATGTGGATTACCCATTTGTGGGAAATCATTTCCAGCAGGGCAGGTTGGTCTCTGAAGTCTTATTCTGTTTCATTTTAAAGCAATTTCCCTAGGAAATCACTTTCAAGTTATAATGTAGCTGCAGCTAGGTGATGGTGTTGTTTCATTCATAGCAATTGTTTTTTACAAGCTCAAAGCCATCTGCATGTACTTAATTTCATCAGAAATATGATGGGAATGCCAAACTTTTAGCCCATGTTTTAATATATGTACGATGTAGATGTAGATGTACTCAATTGATGCTACCCATATGTCTCCAACCTTTGAATATTATGTGTTTTAGTTTAGAGGATTTTACTAATTTTTGGAATTTCATATCTCCAACATTTAAACCTTGAGGAACGTTGAAATGAAGCTCCTGCGCTCTGAAACCTGTATGCTGTGCATGCTGCCGCCCATTTCTTGGGTGCTTCTTTATACAAACCTAGAGCTTATTGACAGTTCATTATTCAGTGCTGAGCTCACTGGTCAGATACATAGAAATCAATGCTTATGGACAAGTTAGGAGGGCATTGACGCCATACTACCTCGACCTGTAGGCAGGATGGCCATCTAAAGGACCTTAAACTTAATCACTGGTTTTCATGAATGCTTCACAGTTCACAATTTTCATAATTTCAGACACCATGTGTAGTGTTCAGATTTCTTGCTGGTTTTCCCTAGACATCTCAAATGACTTGGATATAAGCCCTTCCTGTTTTTAATTACCAGCTGCTTGGTCATCCTTTTTCCCTTCCTCTCAAGTTGCCTGACCTTGTTTCTCTCTATCCCACTTTATCTTGTCTGATTTTCTATAAGGACCCACAGCCTAGCATAAATCTTTGAAATTTGTGATAGCCTCTTCATCATCTTGTTAAAGTTATAATATGATGGTGTGAGGATAGAAAAATACTATATTTTGACTCATTGTTTTGAATTATGGCTCCTATCTCTATGCAGGCCTCAAGAAGTGGTCATTTTCATTGTTGGGGGGACAACATACGAGGAGTCTCGTTGTGTAGCTTTACAAAATTCTATGAATACTGGAATTCGTTTTATACTTGGTGGTTCTGTGATTCTCAATTCTAAAAGGTATGTTTCAGGTCATCTTTGCCAAAATACTTGCATTATAAGTGAAAAAGAAGTTTACATTGCTGTAATAGCTGCACCTAATGCTTGGATCTCAAACATGGTATTTTAGTGGTCCAACTTGATACCACTTCTTTCTTGTGTTGGATGCAAGTTTGAGAGTTTTTGGCATGATAAATATTCAGTTCTTTGGGTTATTTCGGGTTGCACTACTAGTTTGTATTGGTCCAAATCATCTACAATTTGAGTTCCTACAATGTTTTCAAGAACGTGATAAATAAGCATCCACTTACACCTAACCAATTATGGACAATGGGAGATTGTGATGAGTAGATAGTTGCTTAAGTGATTTTGGAACAAATATTAATACTTTTTCTTTGGAGGTTTTGAATTATCTGTTGAAATTATTGGAGGGTATTCTAGTTAGTTACTTTAGCTTATGGAAATTGTCTAAAATAAGATGTCCCGCTTCAATAATTCCTTCGCTGGAAAATGCAGGTTCTTGAAGGACTTGGAAGAAGCTCAGAGAATCGCTCGTACTAGCAATGCCATCTGAGTGTTGGTTTCTTGTATAGCCTAGCATTTGAATAGCGATGTGGATAAGTGGTCGTGGATGTGTATGGGTGTTCTGTTTTTCACTTGCTGTAATATCAAAAATTGCTACACGTGCTTGGGGGATCATCCGAATCAACCCTCTGTTACTGCAGGACGTCCTTTTGTTTACCATTTTGTTGGAGTTAGAACTGAAGGAAGACGTATCCCATAAATTTGGAGGCTAAGATCCATAGCAGTTCAGACCCTCCCTCCGAGAAGAACCGGTGAGAAGAACCATTTTTTTCTGCTAACCAAGCCAGATATCCCTAGAGCTGAACTAACATAACGTGTACTTCTATGCCTTGGTAAAAACATGTCAATACCTAAATCTCTCTTTTTCTTTTATACATATAGCTTGTATTCATGCAAGTACTTGTGATATTGTGAGAAACAAAGTCTAGATTTACTGTATTCTACTCTTCAAGAGAGATGCACGAGAGAAAATGAGTGTTTTGCCTTCCCATTAGACCCATTAGGGTTATGTGGACCCCATGATCCAAGAAAGTTTTGGTCATCTACCATTCGATCTTAATTCAATGGTAGATGGTTATTTAACTTTTGTTGTTGTACTGTATGCATCATCGATAGTGAGCGACCACAAATTTCTTGAATTGGATTAAGATTGAAACCATGGTCTAGGAGAATGAGACTATCATCTTACATCATTATAGAACTTAACTAATGAAACATTACATATAGGACCTCAAACGGATGCATAAATACTTGTGTGTAATGTATATAGCTTCTTCATTGTAGATTATTGGGTTTGTCGCAAGTTTGCCCCATGAAGTTTTTGGTTATCACACTTTGGTCACAACATAAATTTCAACCTCTCACTACAAGGAAGGTGAAAACCTAAGTAACATTGATAAAGTAACTATACAAGTGTAAATTGAGTTCAAATATTCAATAATGCAACATCTTGTAGAGAAAACTTATACATATCATTGTATAATAGAATCGGAACATCATAATTTCATCAAACTTGTTTCATATAAGTTATTCTCTTATTATAGGCATCAGCCATCAGGTTCAACTTTTGTACCGCCTAAATCAGGTTTGCACCGTCTAGATTAGGTTTGTGTCGCCTAGGCGATATGATGTGGCCTTGCTATTTGTGAAGGTTTCTGTAAGTCTCGATGCTTAGGTTTGTCGTGCCTATCAACTTTTTGTGACAAAGTTGTCCAAATCATCTACAGATCATAGAATTAGTAACTGGAGAGTATTTAAGTAGTAACCATCTTACATCTCTTGTACATTTTATTTTTCTTTTTATTTTTTTATTTTTTAATGAAACAACCTATTCTTCTTGTAAAAAATAAAAAATAAAAACCTTCAACTTTTGTACTTAGATCACTGCAAGTGTCCGTAGTATTTTATGCATGCATGGGAAAGTGAGAAATGGGAGAGATGACTGTCCTGACTCTAATGGTACAATTTTGAGAATTCTCAAATCACTATTATACATCGTGCGGTAAAAAATCATTGTAAATTTTCTTATTTAAAATTAAATATAAACAGTATATGACGAAAACTAACTGTATAATGTACGATGAACGAATATAATTGAAAGATCTCCAAAATTCTCACAAAGAGGATCTGGCGAGAATCCCCTCTCCTGACTTCTGCGTGGCTTATTTTTGGTGGGGAAAAAGACAAACAAGAACCTGACAAGCCGTCGCAGCTTAGATAAGTTTGGAGTATGATTCTCTTCTTTTTTTTTTTCCCCTCTCCTTCCTTCCTCTCCTATTTGAACAGTTACGATTAAGCCACGTCAATATCTTATATTAATTTTATATAGAAAGAGAAGAACAAAATAGAAAATGTGAGAGGAAGAAAAAGAAAGGTATGAAGAAGCGAGTCCTAGTCGGATAAGTTTAGCTTTAGCTAGCTTGAGTAGCAGCAGAAGCAGCTCTTGAGCTTTCTCTCTGTCGAATGTATAGCAGCAGCTTTATAACTGAATTGGCAACTTAGCGTGATTGATTTGTAGATGGCTTTCTCTTTGTAAAAACAACTTTCAATTTATTTGATTTGCTCGATGTCATTTCCGTCTTTTACTGATGATATTTTTAAATATATTAGTCACGAAAAATAACTAATTAAGTGTGGCTTATAGAATAGCATGATGAGAAATATTAAAAGGGACTTACTAGAGGGTTTATGAATTTTCTGTCATCTTAGAATTTAACGTTGATTTTTGTAATAACATTATAAAATATTGTGCAAAAAATATAAGGTGGCGGAGAGTTCATAGATATTTTCACTTATATTACAATCTAATAATATTTCTTTTCACTTATAAATCAGAAGTCTTAGTGTAAGTAATATTTCTTGTTTAAAATTAAAAAAAAAATTCTACTTAGCATTTCTCTTGAGTTTTTTCTTCAAAATATTCAATATGTTTTTTTTTCAGAACAAAATAAAATATAAAGTTAAATGTTCTTTTATTATAGGGGCACTGTTGCAATGATGCTAGTTAAAAGTTGGGCATCCTCACACTCGGACAAAAAATTAAGAATTAAGATCCTGCCGGGCAAGGGGGTAGCACGATAGAAATATTATGAATCTACACTTTTTTGGCTTGTTTTTTCTTTCAAAAAGCCGAATTTAAACATCCATGATATATGGTCTCTGATGGTCACCAATTAAGGTCATCGTTTAAAATCTAAAAAAGGAATTAGAATATCTGGGGGATGTCCTTAAGATTGAGGAGGAGTTATTCCTTAATTCAATAGGTGGCCTATCTATTATGATTGAAATCGTTTGTATTATAAATCTTTTGTAAAGATTATTTTTACGAAAAATTAATTGAAAATAACGTTATTCAATTAATTAACGATAGAAAATAGTTAAACAATTCATAGTTCTTTTATGGGGTTTGTCTATTTGTTTTTATACAGTTTGATGCCTAAACGACCTTGTATTTTTATTGATTTTTTGCAGTAATAATTTCTAAAACAAAATTTATAATATGAACGTTGTCAATTATAAGCATAAAATCCTATAAATCGGCCATGCAGTGAATTGTGGATGAACCAAGTTAATTTTTATTCTAATTTCAAGAGAAAGAAGATATACAGACTGAAATTTTACGCCGGTTGTCATCACATAATTTTTAAGATTGTAAGTTTATTATCGCCTGCCATATAAAATAATCAAAAACTTTGATTTTCGTCCCTAGTTGACCAGTATCTTACACTGAAACTTTATTGAAGATAATACTTTAACTGACAATTAATAAAGTGATTAGCATGATTATTACTTAAACGTGGTGGCCAAAAGTTTTTGAGCTATTGAGGTTAGCTCTCTGGTGTAGATAAACAAATTAGGGTAAAGTACAAAAAATTACCTCAGTTATTGGAGTTACGACAGTTTTATATCTCATCTTTTAAAATTGACAATGTTATACCGCATCTTACGAATTTGTGACAATGTCATAACTCTGTTAATTTTTCTGTTAAGGGCTGACGTGGCAAGAAAAAAGGACCACTTACTAATCCAGCTGAATTAAAAAATAATTAAATATATTTTTAATAATTAAATATTAAAAAAAATTAAGAATGAAAAAATGAAACAAAAAAATTTCCTAGAGGTGCGGCATCCCCTTTCCCCTCTTCTTCTCCTTCCTTCTTCTGGTTTTTTTTTTTTTTTTTTTTTGTTTTGTTTTTTTGGGTTGCAGTTTCCATTTTTTTTTCCTCCTCCTTCTTCTTCTTCTTCTTCGGTTCTTCCTCCTTCTCCTCTTGTTTTTGTGGGGGGAGGGGTGGTGTTTGGGTTTTCAATCTTCTTTTTTTTTTGTCCTCCTCCTCTTCTTCCTCCTTCTTCTTCTTCTTCTTCTTCTTCTTCGGTTCTTCCTCCTTCTCCTAGTGGGGCGGGTGGGGTTGGGTTTTCAAAAAAAAATTTTATTTTACTTTTACTTTTATTTATTATTTTAATATTTAAAAAATATTAAATATTCTTTTTTAGTTTTTAATAATATTTTATTAATTTTTTAAGAAAGTGGTCCCAGTCTCTTGCCACATCAGCACTTAACAGAAAAACTAACGGAAAATTTGACGGAGGTATGACATTGTCACAAATTCGTAAGATGCGGTATGACATTATCAATTTTAAAAGATGAGGTATGAAACTGTCGTGTCCCTAATAGTTGAGGTAGTTTTTTGTACTTTATCCAACAAATTAGATGAGGGGAGAAAAAAAGAGTAGAATTGTTATTAGTACTCTAAAAATTTTATTTTACACTCAATTGAAGTATTTCAATTCTCATCCTAATCTTTTACGATCTACATGACTTACTCGATCGACCGACAACTTTTTTGATTCAGGTTTTATGATTAAAAGAAGTATTTGAACTTTCTCTAATTTACAACTCAATGACTGCAGTACTCGATCGATCAATGACTTTTCCACTACAGATTTTATGATTAAAAGAAGTATTTGAACTCTCTCCTAAATCTTTTATAACCTACATGACTGTAGTACTCGATCGATCGTCGACTTTTTCACTACGGATTCTCCGATTAAGGGAAATATTTGAACACTCCCTATAATCTTTTGCCAATTAGTATCTTTTAATTTTCTTTACATTATTACGAGGAGTAAATTCTTAATTTTAATTCATAAAATTTCAGCTCGTATGGGGGAAAAAATGGACATTTTCCCTCATCCAAAAATATCAGCACCTTCCTGATGCTCTAGCGGTGACTTGGATCCGAAGTCTCTCTGTGACTTAGACTTTTGGATCCCAAGTCTCTTTCTCTTTCTCTAAGGAGACTAAATTTATAGATTAAATTTTGTAAACTAAATAACATAGAAGTTGAAATTTTGTAAACTAAATAACATAGAAGTTGGTAATTGAATTATTATTTAATCATTGATAAACGTACTCATTTTCTATTGGTGATATTTCATTTGGTTTGCTAATTTAGTCTACAAATTTAGTGGCATTCCTGTTTCTCTATCGTCACAAGAGACAAACCGCTAAATGGCGCCCTACCAATGGCCCAACGGCATTTTGTTTTTTCCAAGCGGAAGAGGAGAGTACCTTGTTTCTCTTTCATTGAAAAAACCTACATCAGACAAAAAGCCAACACAAAATGCTGGGACGCGTTTCTCCCATTGATTCAGTCCGCTTCCAGGACAGTTCCAAAACTATATGAACAAAACTACCCAAATTCCACATGTTTTGGGTTAGATGGAGATTTTTTTGCAGTCTTTGGAGAGCCACTTGGACTGCATGTAGCTGGCTTTTCTCCAAGGAGGAACAACGAGGCCATTCTCCCTGAGAGACTGTTTTGCAGCTGAGCAAAGCAGAGATATAATCTTGTCAAGTTTTGCCTCAGTTCCAACAAAAATGGTTGGCAGAGCGTCTTTGAGCTGCTTGTAGTTCTGTGTAGGTCTTGCCACTTCGAATTGTGACCTGAAATCCATGTCCACTATCAGCCTTGTCACTTTTCCACCATCTTCAACATTGTTGTTCTTCTTCTCCCTCACCATTACATCAACGTACTCATATCCACCTGTATATTCAACAGCTTAAAAACCAAAATTAACCCATCAAAATCATATCGTTTGGATACTCAAGAAAAGAAAATGAAATTTATTCAATACAAGCGATATTCAGGGAGAGAGGAGAAAAGCGAACTCTTCCATAATAATGAAATTTGAGAGAGAGAGAGAGAGAGAGAGAGAGAGAGAGAGAGAGAGAGAGTTACCCTTAGGGAGCCTAAAAGAAGAAACCCATGAAGTTTTGCAAAGGGAGGCTTCATAACCATCCTCATTTAGTTTCCTCACAACCCATTTATTTTTCAGATTGTTGGGTTCCACCACGGTCCCCATGTCGCTCAAATGCTTCAAGATTTTCTCAAGAATCTCAATCTCACAGTCTGTTGCCTTCCATATTAAGTCCTAATTAAAAAAATCAACATATATAAGATTGAATACAGCAGATCGTATTTTTATGAATTTCAAGTTGAGAATGTTTTGAAGTGCCACTCCGAAAATTATAAAATTTAGTAGCACAAGGAAAACTGAAGGAGAAATGTATATACTATATATATATATATATATAGACACACACAGATATATATGTACAGGAGCAGGAGGAAGACTGAGAAAGAGAAGAGACCTGTAGAGTGAGTAAATTAGGTTGACGATTGGAATTGAGGGGGTTTGAATTGGGAGCTGCTGAGGAGGAGGAGTCTGATGAATAAGATTCATTAAAGTCTCTCACCATTTGCATCAGTTGTTCTTCCGTTAGGCTCCCCATTATTCTTCTCTCTTTTCTTCCTTCCTTCCTTCCTAGCTATGGAGAAAGAAGGTTTGTATCCATATAAATAATTTCTAATCCGGAAGTTTCCCCTCTATTTAGTTTTGTTTTTCTTGACTTTTTAGACATTTCTAGTGACCTCATCAACAAGAAAAGACAGTAGCAGTGCCATTGTAATCATTACTGCATAAATTTATATCCCTAATTACTGTAATGCAGGGATTAATCCATTGTTATTAGCTTGGCATTGATAAAGCTATGAGCCTATGCATTTAATTAATTAATCTGTTTGTTGGTTTGCTGGTTTGTTGGAGATTAATTGTTTTTTTAACTTTTTATTTATTTATAATTAAAGCTAAAATTACGAAATAAAACCTCAAAAGCAACTAGATTCAGCAAAAGTCAACTGTATCATGCATATAGTACGTTGTCAAAGCTCCATAAAATGGTAGTGAGGTGAACCGTGTAACAGTGGCACTGTTCTAAAAATTATCTCTCGAGCGCTAGACGGTTGATCACCGTCTTAATTAATATTTAGGCATTTGAAAATTAAGAAATAGCACATAGACCTACTGAGGCACTCGTCTAGATAGCTAGGCACCAGCCTAGGTTGCGACTCATTTAAGCAGAAAATAGATAACTTTCATTTTGCATTTTATTTTTTCAATAAATTATAAGAGACTTGTCAAATACTTAAATAAGCACACATTATATGTATGTTCCCCATGTTTTCATTATGTTCCAATACTTCATAATATATATATCATTCTATTTTGTAGTTTATGATAAAATTATACATATTTTAAATATAAACGTACACTTTTTTACATGAAATATAATGGCTTTAGTTAAATTAGCCTAGGCACCCGCCTAAACCCAGCCTAACCGCCTAGGCGCTAGGCCCAAGCTCTCTGCCTAACTAGCGCCTAGCTTCTTTTAGAATCTTGAACGGTGGAATGCATACGAATTATTTTATGTTTTTCATGATGTTGTATACCATTGTTACAGGTAAATATTTTTTGTGATAGCTATTAGACCCACCTCATTGTCTTATTTTCTCATCTACGTTATAATCCCACCCACCTTAAAAAGTTAAAAAAATTAAAATGTTATTTCCCCACCCACTATTATTCTCAAAATAACCTTTAATATATATATACATACATATGAAATTATAAAATTGTCTCTTAAAAAATATAACAAATGATATCTAAATGAAAACCACTAGGGTCTGCAAATTCAAATGGAAACGACAAAGGTATCCAAATTCAAAAGAATTCGACAACGACAAATTCAAAAATACGATGTAAAAATTTAAATGACCTACACACAAATTACTCTTCTACCTTTTCAATAGAAACATAATCTTCTACTTTTTCCGTAGAAGCGTCACTTCTACTTGTTCAATAAAAAAGTCATCTTCTAAGTCCGTTGATATTTTTTTACTTTCTCCGAATGAAAGGAGATGAAAATATGAGTTAGGGTTTAAGGTAGACAAATCGTCTCCCACACCCAAACTTTTTTTATTTTAAATTAAGCAAAACAAGATAATTAATGTCTTTATCAGTCTTTTTGCAAATGGACAAATTTGTAATAAAAAAAATTCATTAAAAGATAGGTGGGAAGATAAGACATTAGGATGGGAATAACATCACTCTTTTTTGTGTGCACGAAGTATGAGTCAAACTATCGATTTTCGATGTAACTGCATCAATTATAAAATTAGCCTCTTTAAAAATGTATTAGAAGGGCAAGCGGTGAATTGCGCAAATAGTTAGTTCATTTTTCTTTAATTTAGTAAGTCGTGGATTAAAATTTTTCTGTCGCTTATACTAAAAAATGTATATTAAGAAAATACTTTGAATCGGCTTATTTGAGGATGTATTTGAGAGAAAAGTAATCGACGTAGGCTGCCGAGTACTTGCTGTGTATAATACGTGTACACAAACACAATTATATTCTGATTATACTATTAATTAATATAATATTAACAGATAAGTGCACTTGACTTTGTTTTCTTGCTGCAGGATAATTATTGAACTTTATATAATCATCTAGTTATGCGTAATTAATTATGCAAATTAGTTTATTAGAAAAAGAAGACCATATGAATTTACTTAGCTGGTTTAAGTCTTCAAGTTACATGGACGTCTCTGTTTTTTTTTACTTGTTATAAATAAATTTGATCGGATTCATTTGGCATAGTGTTTATAAGTTTGAATATAATTTTTTGGCAGCGAAGTCATGTTGAAGCTTTAACTAGACTTAGCCAACCTGTTAGAAAAGTTGTCGTGCTCCCCCATTTGAATTCAAGTTTGATCGCTCCCTGTAATTTAGATGCATTTAGTCTGAAATATCCTTTTTATAAAAAAACGTAATGGAAAGAAGAATAAGACGTGATGACTTCTGTTATGCCCATCAACTATTTACTTCTATGTGTGGGGTCTTAGTTTGATTCTCACATCCTTAGTATCAATATATCGTTATGTTAAAAAATTAATTTTTAATCTAATGAGAAAAACATTTAATCAGACCAGATTCATTTGGCATAGTGTTGATAAGTTTTTTTTTTTTTTTTTTTGGCAAACTAGTGTTGATAAGTTTAGTATGCGTTTTTTGGCAGCAAAATCATGTTTTGGTCGCTCCTTGTAATTTAGATGCATTTAGTCTGAAATATTCTTTTTATTAGAAAAACATAATGGAAAGAAAAACAAGATGTGAGTGACTTTAGCTATGCCCATTTACTTCTCTTTGTGAGATTTTAGGTTTGATTCTTGCACCTCTTAATGTAAATATATCGTTATTTAAAAAAACTACTTTCAATCTATTGGTGAAAGCATTGCATTTGTCCCGGTAGATAGAGCATTCGTCTTCAACTCATCATGTTCGAGTTTGAACTCTCGTCCTCCCCTCGGAACAGTTACATAGCTTCTAAAAAGAAAAACACTTATCCATTCTGAATACGTTCCCTTGCACCAAAACAGAAGTAAGGTTATGCATTTTCATGCAGCTAAGTTGTGCTTTCATGTCACATCCCAAAAATAACCAAACTGATACCGAAATAATTTCAATATCATCTTGGGGGGCTAATTTTTCTCCCGATTTAGCAAAACATGTTTCTATAAAAAGATTTGCAAAGATGATACAGAAGAATGAGTTACAGTACAAATTACAGACTGGTAAAAGAATTAGTGGGTAAAGGTATTCCTTTTGGTACAATACAACATATCCAGATGGCCTGATGAAGTTGAATGGAAGTTTTCCGACGGACAAAATCTTCTTCACTCCTTTCTCCGTCACTTCACGAGACTTCATGAGAATCTATAACCGGTCTCCCACAGTTGAAGAATGAGATATTAAAGCAGCCAGATGCAGCTTTCACCCAGTAAAAACTCGGACGTCATTAAGATAATCCACACAAGTTACAATGTTCAGGATTAAGCTCTCTCCCGCATTTTGGCTCTTGCAAAAAATACTCCGGCCACAAGACCTACAAATTGAAAAAAATTCATCGGTAATGCTAGAAAACTCAAGCTTGCATTTGCGAAGTTGTCTAGTACATCATATTCTTCTTCCTGTTTGATGGAGAGAACTTACCAAAGAAAATGCTAGCAGAGTTCTCTAAACTGGTCGGCACTTTGAAAAGTAGAATACCGGCAACAGATAGAGGGATCTTATTCAGCGACCCAACAAGGCTGCAGAGATTGAGCAGTGATCAGAGATGTCCAGTTAAATGGATTACTAACACCTTATGATTCAAAATAAGCATAGCAATGTAATCACACTAAACCAACGAATAACACAAAGCCAACAAGAGAAGGGTTTCACATACAAACTTAAATCTGGGATTGTCTTAAATTGACTTCCAAGTCCGAGGTTCTTTTTTTTTTACATTTTTTTTTTTTAATTTGCAAAAAATCAAGTTCCAAATTCCAAGTTCTTATTTACATAACTGGAGTGGAAAGTCGAGAAGCAAGCCAGAGAAACTGACAAAGTGAAACACAAGAACCCTATGATTATCAAAACTACATAAATCACGAATATAAGCTATCAGGCTAGATGTCAAAAAGTATGCAGCCTGGAAAAGGGGATATAAAATTTATTTAGTTTATTTAAAAAAAAAATAAAAAAAAAGGAAATTTGAAAGCTAAGAGTAAGGTATCCAGCTTTAAGTTGAGTAATCAAAGTCTCACTTAAACCAGGTCACAACCATAGATATCATATTATGTATCAGCTGCATTCTATCTTACCTGTATGTGGTGGCACCTGTTTGATGAAGAAACCACATAGACGTGAAGCTGATTGCAAGGCCCAAAAATCCACTTAATGTCATCACCAACCAGAAGGTTGAAGACCTCAAAAGTGGTCTGCATTTTGATTCAACCTTCATTAGATTCAATAGGATAAAAGAAAGAAAATTTGTAAGAAAAACAATGTGAAACGCAACCCTAACATTTTCTCCTTCCTGTTTTTCTTTTGACAAGTAAACGTGGTCCTAATTCCCAAGACATCCCACAAAGTGATTCTAGACCTCAGTCATAGCTAAATGGATTGGCATACATGTTATTAGCTAGTAGTTGCATGTTAAGGTAGAAAACAAACAACATAGTAAAACCAACAATGAAATAACAAACTATGGAGTACTTCGTGCATACTTTACTTTTCCATGATTGTATCATATGTTAAGAGGAAGTGGTATCGATCTGGAAGATTTCAAACTTGGACAAATATTTCACAAGGGAAAGAGGAACGGGAACGGGCCTTCTTGCCGAATGACATCATAAAATAGCAGTTGCAAGCTTTCACATCACACCTCTCATCTAGATTTTCATTTAATCATCAATATGACAGATTCTAAAGACGATGTGAGTGTGAAAGTCATTCCTTTCCACTATATGATTCACACTTGTCTATCTATTGCAGTAGTTTCCATACTTCTATAATTCTCCAGAAACATCCAGAGTTTGAACTACGTTGACCAGAATGACCTTGTATAAGAGAAAAAGTGCTTTGATAATCCTCCCACACATTAAGCTATCGAAATGCCTAAACTTATAACACGTAAACAAATCATTTAGACTCCAAACACCTGTCTTTATCGTCAAAACTATAGTTACGGCATTATAGCACAGTCGAAAGAGTGTAGTGGTAGAAGTGGGGAAATAGTATCACAAATGAATACTCACGTTGTAAAGAGATAATCCACTTCATTGAAAACAAAAATAAGCAGAATCCCCAAAGGTAGAGAAAGCGTGTTATTTAGCAAGACCATTGAAAACTCATTCAGCTTTCCAGATTTCGTGACCAGCTTTGCTGTATCCATGACTCTACGTAGAGTAAGCTGTCAAAATAAAATAGTTATTCAACAATTAAAACATAAAACAAGTTAACCGAATGGGACACAGAGTCACAGACCAAAAAACTACAAGAAAGCACTCAGATTTCAGACAGAAGCCTAATGTCCATTTCTGAAATCTTTGTTGATTTTGCACTATGAAGTATAAATTTTATCAACTCAATATTTGAAGGGCTACAAGACCTCTGATATATAAGAAAGAAACTGAGTTGATACAGATGAGAAACAGAGTTGATATAGATGGTCTTGGACCAAACCAGAAATCCAGTAAAGGATACCGTTTTTCCACCTGATAAGCATGGTTTTTATTGTCTACAATTAGATTTGGCAAGTACTGCCTTTTCTTTCACTAAGGAAGTGCATAATTAGTCCTGGCCACAATTAACAATTAAAGACTTCAATTTTTCTTAGATCTGAAAATAATCCTCATTAAGGTAGGTCCAAAACCAAATTATCATGTAGCTTCCTAATTCATATTCTCAAATCAAAGAAACTAGGTTAATCATTCTTATTGCTAAAAACGTCCTCACAGATGAGGGAGGTGGAATAAAGACCATACACAGAATGACACTATAAAATGTATTGAACATATTGAACTCACAGAATATGATGCAGTCAAGATACAGTTCAGAAATTGCCATGCATAGCCAACGGCATGGAAAGATAAATCAGTGACTCCTCCAGAAATTGCTGAAATTATCTGCAAATGTTAGATTCAAAACCATGTCAAACCATATCATCAAATGAGAACTCAAAAAATATAATCTTATAGATACCCAAGAATAGCATAAGGTTGGTGACAAATGATCTTGGAAATAAAGGACAATATCTCTATGAACATGCAAGCATGCATGCATGTGTGCAAGTGCACTCGCACAAAATCCACTTACCCCACGGGACATCAACCCCCAAATTTAGAGAACTATTATGATGCATCAAAGATAGAAGTGCAGACTCCTAGAAGTCAATATTTTTGTCAACTTAGCAAAGCACTTGTCCTAATGGATTTGGCTTGATTTCATCAAAACCAAAATTTAAAAAATTAACTACACTCATGTATGCACTCGCCTTTTCAATTCGTATATTCATTGCCAAGCACAAGCTCCAAACCAATGAAAAAGAAAAAGGAATTATATATGACATATTTTTTTGAGAAAACTTATTTCTTTTCCCACACATCATGTTGTTTTTAACATAAATCCTAGGAATTAAGATATGAATAAAAACTTCAAAAAACAAGAAAAAGTTAAAAAAGATGATACAAATAACAACATAGAAAGGAAAGATAGACAAGACCTCTCAGGTAAAAGAAACAAGCCAGCAATCAGAAGACGAAAGAGCATGTTGAATTATTGTTTTAAATCCCAATTGAAACATTTATGAACAACTGAAATCTCAAATTGACATTTTCCTAATTATCAAGCATACCATTAGGAAAAGTGCTGCCCATACTCTGCTGTCATGGTGCTTCTGGAATAGATACATTTCACCAACAGCAGTTATCACATTGGTAACATTCTTTAGGACTGTGACCATCGCTACATTGATGTACTTCAAGCTGCAAACATGAATTTAACTAGAGTTGAGAAAAGTAAGAGGCCATGGAGTATTAATGGTTGCACACCAACAATGGGTGCACCCTACAGCAACTACCTAAGGAGCCTAATCAGATGAACAAAAACACATCCTTGCTTGTCTAGTTGTAGAATACAAAAAATGCACTGAATGGTTGACTTAATGTGCAGAAAAAGATTAATTTAGATCTGCAGGAATTAAAGACCCAAGAATACTTACATGAATGGTAATTACGTCGAACTTAACTTTAAGATTCATAGAAGGTTTTTATGTAACAACAATTTAAGTACAAGTATCACCAACCAAGTAGATTGCTTGTTAAGTGGTGTTAATAAAACATCAAGATGAAATTTTGCATGTAAACAAGATGACGCTGGCATCAAATGTAATATTAGACCAACTACTTAAACTTTACCTAAAGCCATTATGCACCAAGATGAACTAAAATAGGAAATGCTCTACCTACTTCATACCTAAACATGCTTGTAATGAGCATCCCAACGAATATAACATTCACAGGCAACCAGACCTTAACCAATCTCCATGTTAGTGGCTCCGTTGATATGATGCCGGTAAAACTCAACACAGAAACGATTATAACCGAGACTAGGTTCTGCATCCACATTAGCAACATGAGACAGTTAGATTTCAACAAATAACTATTCGATCAAATAGAGTTGAGTAAAACACTCTTTTTATGCAAACAAAATCGATCACAATTGTTACCTGGTAAAGCATCAGAGAAATTCCAGCATCAAAGTTGTAGCTCGAAAGGACGAATTTGTTAACTAATATCATGCTGCAGGACGACAGGCAATATGCAAGGCCAGACAATAATGCCTTATTCTGTATCTTAACCACCTTATGGGTAGTTGCTTTATCTCCATCTTTTTGCAATTTTCCACCTTCCAAATCGGTTTCATTCTTTTCAAAAGAACTCATTGCAAATACAAACCTATATCAAAGTTGATAACTACTTCTCAATCCAACACCGAATTCGAGTGACGAAAGAGGCCACTTCCCCAACTTTAGATAACCATATACTTTGCCGATCGGATGAACAGATGGAAAATTCCCAAATTTTGAAGAAAAATCACCCGAAACATCATTGAAATCGGATATGAAGAAGAGCAAAGAGGAGAAATCCGAGAACCCTAAAACCCAGCATTAAATAGAGTTGTAAAAACGTAATTAAGCCAAACCTAAACCCCAACTGCCGAAATCAAACATAACAGAGCTCTCAGTACCGAGTAGGAAACAAAAACGGCTGAGAGCTAAAGAAAAGTCACCTCTTTCCGCCAACGTGAGGGAGCTCGAACTTCTTCTTCTCCTTCTTCTTCTTCTTCTTCAGCTTAAATAAGAGATGGAGGAGTGCGAATTGCCAAAGAGTGACAGATGAAGATGAAGGTGGTCGTTGGAGTTGGAATGGGATGTCCAGCCTTGGAGGGAGGCGTCAATGCTGACATGAAAATTCAAAGACTCAAGTTTTTGACTGGAGATGCTATATTCCATTAATTTCTTGATTTTATCTGTTAATAACTTAATGACTGTTACGGCTTTTTTGTTGTTATCATTGGTCGCATTTGATATTTTTATTTATTTTTTTCCCTCACCACCTTATTATTCTTTTCTGGGAAAATGGTTGCGTTTGGAAATAAAAAAGAGTATGCTGATAGAGAAAATCTCAGACAATTTTTAGGATAATTTAGTAAGTGTTTTAAATGACTGAAAGTTCTTTTAAAAAAAATGTTTTTAGATTTTAACAGTGCTTTCACCAGGAAGCAGATAATATGTATTTTTAGCAGAAAACACTCCAAGTGTTTTTCTAAAATTAATTCGTATTTTTATTAAAATTTGATTTTAAAAACATTTTTATCTAAAATACTTTCAGTCGCGTGTAATCATTGTTTGTGTTAGATTAATACAATAGCGGTAGCTACATAATTACAATCTAGCTACCAATCACAGATCATTGTAGCATTTAAATATTGGGCAATGATCCAAGGCTCCAAGCCGACCAAATTGGGCAATGATCCAAGCCAACCAAATTTGGCAGCCTTCAACTAAAATATTGGAATGCTCTTCTTCAGTCCATTTTGGTCTAATAATAGTGGATATTGGAATACAAATTTGGAGATTGAAAATAACAACTCACCAAAGTCCACTTTGAAGTACTATTGGTTCATTTCCAAACAAAAACTTCGGATATCGGAAATACACAAGCATAACATTTCTGTGGAACATACTAGCGTCAGTTACGTGTGGACGTGACAATCACGTGTGTATGTGACGCTAGCCCAGCCATTGATGTTCATAGGTCCTCAACAAATCCCACACTCATCCATGGATGTGATCGCACCAGTAATGTTGTGATTCAACACTGCAAATGCAATTACCCATTCATGCCGTGAGTCGAGATTAGTCACTTGATTCCACAAACTAACCATCAATATGTAAAATTTGGTGTAGCTAAGGTTAAAAATAACAACAACAATCATGTTTTATTTCACTAAGTGGGGTTTTATGTATGAATCTTAGGACAGTACTCAGGGCCCATCCTGACGGGTGTGAGGAGTGCGACCGCATAGGGCCCCTGAACTCTAAATTTTTTGTGTGTATATATATATATATATATATATATATATATATATATATATAAGCTGGGAAATAATATATAGATGCTTTCATAGCATGGTTGTCAAGCACTGATACTTCCATGTGGTAATTTACAGGTTCAACTTCCTACTTTCTCATATATATGGCATGTGCGGGGTAACTATTTTGGGATTTTTGAGCTACACTATTTTTTCCATTTTTAAATATTTGTAGTTTAGTTTCTTTCATTATATTGTTCAAAAAATAAAAAAAATAAAAAAAAATCTTTCATTAAAAAAGATAATTTTGCTAATAAATCTGCAGTTAGAAATATCATAATAAATTAAAATTCTTAAATATGATATAATCTTTAAAACCCCTCTTTCTTATATGATATCATTTAATAGAATACATTTCATAATTAGAATCATTTATTTTTTTTGTCACCGTTTAAAAGTCATCTATGTTTCATTCCATTTGAAGATTATTCAGTCATCTATATCAAAAAGAAAATTATAGTACAACTACACCTATCATTAGATTAAGTTGCTTTAATTGTTTAAAACATGAATCTCAAATTTTAACTAATTTAATGGCAATCAATAGGAGAGGGGGAGTGAGAATCATCCTCACTTTAGGGCGTGAGAAAAAATGCAATAAAAAATGTTCATTATTAGATGCTACTAATATCATAACCAGTGATTCGTTTAACTCATAATTTTTCTTGAGGTGAACTCTAGATGATAAGAAGAGCATGAATGGTTTAGATTATAATATTTGTATGGTGATATGATAGGTAGATAGTCATCACACCATGCTTTTTATATTTAAAAAATAAGGAGATTCGAACAAAAAACATAGAGAACGCATATAGGTACATGACCACCACAGTACCACACTATGCTTCATTTTTCTCTATTTTTTTTATTTTGCGTTATATCAATTTATACACAATAAAAAATAAAAATATAAAAGAAAATATAGCAACTAAAATTTTAGACCATGCAAGAGCCTCCGTTTTAGTCTCGCACAAGGCCTCCAAAATCTCAGGAACGGCCTTGATGATACTGCGCTTGGTTTTGCGCCTAATCTTCTGTTAGCTCCAAATACTTCATATTTTTTCTTACTGTCTCTATGACATTGGTCCCCTCCTAGGAAGAAAAGAAGAGAAACAAAAATTATCTAGCCACAGGACTGGGTTGACATAAAGAAATGGCTTTTAATCACCAAACCGCCTAAAATCTATTGCCCTATTAATTCAGCACACGATATTTCCATTGCATCAGCTCAAGTTCCTCGAGACGATGAGTGACCCATAAGGCAGTAACATCTCCAGAACTATCCGAAGAATTCCGAGCTGCTTTGATCACCCCAAGGTCGAATGCTACATCTGCTTCTGCTCTAGGCATCATGATAGGAGCATATTTAGGCGACTTACTTAGCTTGTTTTCGTGCATCTATGTTGGTAATTCATAGTTATTTTAGTCCTTTATGCTTCTTTTGTGTGTTTTCAGGTTCTAAGGGCTTAGGGAGCAAGAAAGTGCATTTTGAGGCTATTTGGGGCACTTTTGGGCATGGATTGGATAGCTTAATCATGGAGCAAAGAGGATGGACGAAATTGAAGCCTTGTATGCTCTTTGGGGACATCAAACAAAGGGCCTAGCCCAATCAAACAAATCCTTTGAGCCATGGAAAACCTCTAGCCCAATCAAACATATTATGCCATGCAAACCAACCTATTTTAGGCCCATTCTATGTACTTAAACCCTAGCCCTTTAAACTAGTCCATTTATCACTATTCACTTCCATTCACTTATCACTTATCATCACCACATATCATTCATTTATCACTTAACATATCATTCATTCATCTCCTTATCATAACCATACACCTATCACTTATCACTTATCACAACAACAACCTTGCACATGCACTCCCATTCTTTAACCCAATTCCTTTCCAACATCTCACATGCATTTCCACCTTCCTACTTCATCATTTCATCACATTCTCCCTCTTTAATTCCACATGCATTCACTTCATCATTACACCACCATTCATTCTTTATTCCACAAACAAGTCACATGCATTTCCACCTTCCTACTTCATCATTTCACCACATTCTCCCTCTTTAACTCATTTCATTATTCATTCACTTTGCATTCATTCAATTCCACCCCACATGCACCCTTTATTCTTCATCATTGCAACCATGGCACATTTACACCAACAAAACAACTCCCATGTCATGGCCTACTCATATTCCCATTTCCTTTCCAACATCTCACATGCATTTCCACCTTCCTACTTCATCATTTCACCACATTTTCCCTTTTATTTCCACATGCAATTCTTCATCATTGTAGCCACAAACACCTTAAACAAATAGCCATATACATCTCCACTCCTCCTATAAATACCCTTGCATTCATTCATTCAAATATCATCTCATTCACAACACAACACTCCTCAAAATCATCCATTCTCCTCCCTAGCCGTGAGTCTCCCTTAGAATCCAAAAACCATCTTCCATTTCCACCAATCCTCATCCATTTCCATAATTCCCCAACACTTCCATCCCCCCAACCAACCTATCCTTAAACCTTGTGCTACAACAACGAGGAAGAGAAGAGTGCCTAAACGTTCATACAATTCAAGTTTTGAGTTGTTGGAATGTTTAGGTGTTTCTTTGATTTCAAAGTTTCATTTTAATTCTCTTTGTTTTGTAAGTATGAGAATTGGAAGAAAAGAGTGCTTAAACGTTCATACAATTCAAAGTTTTGAGTTGTTGGAATGTTTAGGTGTTTCTTTGATTTCAAAGTTATGAGGAACTAAACCCCCTTTAGCTAGGGGGTGATTCGAAATATATGTTTATGCTTGCATTATGATTTGAGTACTTCTAATTACGTTTCATAAGTTGTGAATTCAATTTGTTTAACTATTTGATTGATAACCTATTTATGTATGTTTATTGAGAGTCGACGCTTAATTTTCATGCATGAATTTGACGCTAGAATATAAGTGAGTTTCACGTAATAGTTATGAACTTATATTCACAAGTAGTGGAGGTTGCTTATAAACAATCGCGTTAAACAAATTCTTGGCATAAGTTTCATGCAATCATAGTAACGAATGCCTCGTCAACACTTATAGTTTTCATGATGCTTAATGATTCTTGCTTGTATCTCTATTATGCAATTCATGTAGGGAACTTGTGAGGAATGCTTTGGGTTGTCGTATGCAATCATCCAATTCATTAACTTAAGGAAAACTTGACGGTTAATTTAAGCGGACCTAATTAACCCGGAGCGTTGAGAATTCATGGTTTATTGAAAAGTAATTAGAAATCGTTTTGTATGCAAGTATAACATGTGTGGAGATGAACCCCTTAGCTAGCTTCCCATCCATTCATTTCCGTCAAATCCATATTCACAATTTGTTTTGTTTCCAAGTATTTATTTTAGTAAATTCGTCCAAATCCAATCCCCCCTTATTTTGTTTAAGTTTTAGTCTTAATCTTTCTTATTTTTAGTTTTGCATTCTTTGAGCATTAAATATTGTTTTATATTGTGTTTTTACGTTTTTAAGTCAAATTCAAGTGATTAACAATCCCTCCTAATCCCCGGTCCAGAACGATCCCTACTTACATCCATACTACAATTGTCAAAAAGAGGGTTTAATTTGTGCGCGTATAATTCACGCATCAAATTTTGGCGCCGTTGCCGGGGATTAGCAACTTTGCTAATCTCTTGGATTGTTTTATTTTTCGTTTGTGTGTTTATATTTTTAGTTTTATTGATTTTAGAAGCAAGACATGGCACTTGATAGTGCTTCTCTTTTGTCACAGCTTATGGAAGAGTACCAAACACAAAGAGTTGGTGCATTTGATCATAATCAATCAAGGAACGACGTGTTTTCC